GCAAAGAGGGTACTGACTTCTGAGAAAAAAGACTAAATAACGACATTATTCTGAACTGACTGACTAAAAATGTGACCTGGCACACCACTCTTTCTGGACAATGACAGCCTTTTTAACCCACCCTTCAGCACAGCCCGATAATCTTCACACAGCAACACCTTGTTTGGGGGCAGGGAGGGCAGACGTATTTGGAAGGCACACCTTAATGCTAAAACTAATGTAATAATAGTTCTGAAAACAATGGGCAGTGCAGTTATGTACAGCAGAAAGAAAGTTCTCTTTATTTAACTTCTTTAAAAAGTAGTAACAGCATCAAGATCCAACTGCGTGTTAGCAGCTTGGAAGGAAATCCTGGGCCCAATAGTGGTGTATTCTTCTAGAAATACTGCATCACCAACACTTGGTGCTCAGAGTAAAATATTATGAAAAAAACATGGAAATCAGTGACTCTCAGAGGAAATGGTATTCAGAGGAGCAGCATTCTGAGTAAAAAGAAGTTTTGGGACACAAATTTATTTCACTTGTATTTTCCTATATACATACACATTTATTTTTTCCACACATACACATATATACAAGACTGCCATATGATAAAATCTAAATCTAAAAGAGCTCTTTTAATAGGTATAAAATAAAATTTCTATGTGATAAGAACTTCCTCTTGGTCTCTCTCTCTCTCTCCATACTAGTCCCACCCCATTTTTCTGCTCTATTTACAGCAAAATTACTCCTAAAAAGGTCTCTCCTGGCTGTCTAGATCCTCTCCTCCTATCCTCTCTTCTTCTCCAGTCCAGCATTTGCCCATAACACCCCAAATCCGTTTTTGTCGAGGTCGTCAAGAAACTTTATTTGGCTTAATACCATATTCCACCCTCAATCCTTGTTTCACTGATCTATCAGCCGCATCTGACATGTCTGATCGCTCCTTCACCTAGAAACACTGGATTCACTTGGTCTCCTGCAACCACACTCTCTGCTGGTTTCCCTCCTACCTCATGGCCATCCCCTCCTCAACTCCTCTACAGGTTTCTCCTCATTTCTCTCCCCTTGACACATGGGCAGGCCCCATGGCTCACTCCTTTGACCTTCTCTCTTCTTTCTACACTACCGTCTAGGTGATATCATCCAGTCTCATGATTTTAAATACCACCTATACCCTGATGACTCTCAAATTTATATCTACATCTCCAACTTCTCCAACAGCCTGCTCAGCATCTCTACCTCGATAAGAGTTTGGGATCCATTTATAACTCTATTTTGAAGGATAATCAATTAACTTATTAAGACCCCAAGATTCAAACCTATAATTGAGCAATTATTTGCAGGGTTATTTTTTTTTTTAATGCAAACAAGGCAGAAGGCTAATGGAGAGAGAATGAAACAAATCTCACTCTGGAGATAAACACTCTTTTTATTAAAAGAGACTACTCATTTTATAGCCTCTTTCAGGAGAATTAAAAACAGGCAATAAGGGACCAGCCCCGTGGCGCAGCGGTTAAGTATGCATGTTCTGCTTTGGCGGCCTGGGGCTCACTGGTTCAGATCCCGGCTGCAGACATGGCACTGCTTGGCAAGCGATGCTGTGGTAGGCGTCCCACATATAAAGTGGAGGAAGATGTTAGCTCAGGGCCAGTCTTCCTCAGAAAAAAAGAGGAGGATTGGCAGCAATTAGCTCAGAGCTAATCTTCCTCAAAAAAAAAAAAAAAAAAAACAGGCAATAAGTGAAATATCAATAAACTAAAATTTCCTTTGTCAACATCTGTTCGTAACAGTCTCAAATGCCAGAAAACTCTGAAGTGAGGGCTTCCAGTTATTTCCTGGCTTAGAAGATCATATGGTATAAGGAAACAGTCTATTTCAAATTAATATCTTTGATAGAACCTAAATCAGGTGGACAGAATGACTCTTAGACACAGCAAAAGCCACAAGTACTAGTAAAGATATTTCTAAATTCAGAATAGTCAAGTCTACTGTGATGCATGTCAGGGTTTCACTAGGTTACTAGGTTATTCACTATATAGTATGAATAGAGCTGATGGGGTAGGCACTTTATGACCAGAAGCAGCTAGAACCTTTACTAAGATAGATATGAGTAGTTAGAGGCAGAAATAGTTAGAGAAGTCAGCCCAAAGGAATTTGTAGGCCTTGCAATTGTTTTAAATTTCTGATTGTAGCCTATTACTCTTAATATGACAATAACAGAAAGAAATGTTTTAAGTAATTTTGCTAATAGTGAACATCTAAGTGCATAGGACGTGACGGGCACAGTAAGCATGTTAAATATGTCAACTTGTTTAACGCAACCATTTAATAAGTCTCACTTAAGGGTTAAATGACAACCTGTATAACACAAACTTACCCATCCAGCCCTCAGCTGTTCCCAACCTTCTCTCTGCAGTGCAGCCAAGAACCAGGAAGAAAGCAAAACAGACCTTACCTTATTCAGGTACCAGCCTTCCAGGGTTCACTTTTGGGAGAAGCCCTCACTCACAGGACATTACTGAGGAAACTGCACTGAATTTGGAACCAAAAAGCTCAGGGTTGGGCAGATTTAAGATCCAAAAGCTCAACAGCCTCTGGAAGGTCATTCAGCTGTTGACTTCATTATAACCTGGTGGCTTATCTGACAGCACAGTGTAATAATTCCTTCAGGGCAAGAATCCCGATGTGTTCATTGTGGTACCCCCAGTAGAGAATAGAGTTCTTAGAGCATCGTTTGTGCTCAATTTTCATTAATGAAGCTTATAATGACGATCCTTAGTCATCGAAAAGATTAAATTACACCTAATATAGTCTATGAAGAGAAAGAGCAAAAACACATTTGAAAAGATTTTCATCCACTGCTAACACTCAAAGGTTAGAACATTACAAAAGGGAGATCCTCAGCTGATCAGAAAACTTGATTATTGAGAACAACTTATTGAACAACCCTTAAGCATTCCAGGAAACTGAAGTTTCAGGAAATGGGCACAGTACTGTACTCCTTGCTGGTGGGCCAAGGAATCCTGACCCAGGCTGCCTCCCAAGGCTATAAGCCAGGTGGAAAATGGGGATCTGCGGGCTGGATATCCAACTGCAGCTCCCTGTAGAACTCTGTTCAGAACAGCAGCTCCCAGTTTAATGGAAGTATCTGTTAAACCCCTCAATGGGATATCCAGAATGGGGACAACTCTGAAGGGGTTCACAGAGTTAGCAATATGCAGGATTACAGGAGAGTATGAAATAATTTATCTCACTGTTAAAAACATATGGCTCTTGGGGCTGGCCCCGTGGCCGAGTGGTTAAGTTCTCGCGCTCCGCTGCAGGCGGCCCAGTGTTTCGTTGGTTCGAATCCTGGGCGCGGACATGGCACTGCTCATCAAACCACGCTGAGGCAGCATCCCACATGCCACAACTAGAAGGACCCACAACGAAGAATATACAACTATGTACCGGGGGGCTCTGGGGAGAAAAAGGAAAAAATTAAAAAAAAAAAAATATGGCTCTCGGGCCAGCCCAGTAGCATACTGGTTAAGTTCCCATGCTCCACTTAGGTGTCCCAGGTTCACGGGTTTGGATCCCGGGCAAAGACCTACACATTGCTTATCAAGCCATGCTGTGGCATCATCCCACATATAAAGCAGAGGCAGATGGGCACGGATGTTAGCTCAGGGCCAGTCTTCCTCAGAAAGAGAGGAGGCTTGGCAGCAGATGTTAGCTCACGGCTAATGCTCCTCAAAAAAAAAAAAAAAAAAAGATGGCTTTCACCTCTTACGAGCCTATTCTTTCTTGGGGACACTGCTGACCCACAGATTGAAGGCAGAAAAGCAAGGGATGCAGAATTTGAGGTGCAGAGGGAACCTAATGAAAATGACATCAAGAAGAAGAGATGAATGTGTGTGCTCTACCTTTAAATACATAATTATTAAATTATATAAAGTCAGTTCCGCTGTAAAAGACACTGCTCTGATTGCCAAGTAGCTCAGATTCTGTATCATTCCAGGCTTAGTGCTAAAATGTGTCATGGAGGGGACTCTTTCCTCTGCCTTTAAAGTGGAAAGTGGTTTTTTACACTGTGAAAGAGAAAATAGATGTGCTGAATAGTGTTCAACATCTTTCTGCACGAAAACTTTCTGACAGGACCAAGAAACTCCTAGTCCACTGAGTTGTGACTGTTGAGTTGACTCCAGGGGGAACACAACCTTCCAGAGTGGCTTTTTGTTGTTGTTTTCACCGCTCATAAAGGCACCTCCAGGCAAGGCTCCAGCCACAGGAGCCAAACTTGCACCACGCCACCTGAGCAAGCACTGAATGAAGGAAAGCGGAATCTCGAGCGAAACTTCTCGTTTCCTGTCGCTGCTGAGAGAGGCTGGACTCGCTCCCTCTCACATGGCTTAAGAGGAGCTATAAACACAACCATCCAGCTTGCCAGCTGGCCGCAAGCTCAGGGGGCTTTCGGGGGCAGCCGCTGTGCCACGCTCCCTTTTCCTCCTTTGACCAGTGTCATTCCTGTACAGATAACGGTACCGGAACGCCCTCCACTTCCTAGAGTCCTCATTTATGTCATGGTTCCTCTTTCAAGAAAACACGGGGACGAAACGCAAAGCAGAAAAACAGACTAAAGGCAAAATTACCCCGTCATCTCGTTTCATCCCTCTCCATTGTTATTATAAAAGAGCTGGATCAAATTCCTTTTGTTGCCCTACACACACACACACACACACGCGCGCGCGCGTACTCAAAAGTAGGTGAAGGGCACCCTAAGACAGCTTATTTTTTCCCGCCTCACAGAAAGCCTTTACGAAATCCTCATACCATCTCCGGACGCAGGGCTACAGCAATCAGCTAAAGAGCTAAACCATTTCAAGCCAAGGTATGAAAAGCCGTGGTCCCCAAGGCACAAGGCTGGAAGGCAGGGCAAGCTGAGCGCACCTAGATGTTTGCATTTACACAAAGAAATTAGCCGGATGATTAATGGGAGATGCCGGCTGGAGGCGGAGCGCCCGCGCCGGCCTCCTTACCTGGGACATCTGCGGCCTCAGGTTGATCTCCTTCAGGTTGATGGAGTGCGCCCGCAGGTTGTTAAGCAGCTGGCAGAGCAGGACTCCATCGCGGAGGGTCTGCGCCAGGTCGAACACCTGCGCCGAGTCCCAGGTCACCCGGTGGTTGGCGGGCAGCACCTTGCAGTGGATGAGCCACTGCGCGCACTGCTTCCACGGCTCCATGCCCGACGGCTCCCGGACGCCGCCGGCCCGGGGCAGGCGGAGAGGATGCCGCCGCCGCCGCCCGCCGCGGCCGGCCCCTTCCCTGCGAGGGTGCGAGGCAGCAGGCGCCGCGGCCGGCGCGTCGGGGGCCCAGCGCGGGGCTCGGGTCGGCTCCCGGCCCGGGTGCTCCGGCGCCCGGCCGCCGCGGCAGCGAGTCGCGCGCGCTCTCCGTGCGCCCCGGCCGGCTCAGCGGCGGCGGCGGTCGCGCACAGGCTTCCGACTCACGAGCCCGGCGCCCGGCGACTGAGCATGCCCAGCACGCCGGCCGCTCGCGCTGCCGTCTGCGAGTCCCCAGAGGCGCGGGTGGGAGAGCGCGCGCCGCCCCGGCCTGGGGTCGGTGGCCCGGGCGGGGGCAGAGGGGCGGGCAGGGGATCCCAGCGCCCCCGCCCACCACGAGCCCTCAGGTTGGCGGAGTTTACACAACTCCGGGCATCCGGAGAGTTTCTCTCGGGACGACTTCCCGGTTTGGGGAGAGTGTGGCTGAACACGGTAATACACTGAGGTTCCTACTGGGACCCGTAACCGGCAAGTGCAATTTCTGAAAGGGTCTGAGAGGAACGAAGGATTCACTGGGGCCCCCGGACTACCCAGAGAAGTGAAAAAGGGCACAGAGCATCTTGAGAACGCAACGCTGAAAGTTTGAGATTCTCACCCCCCCCCCCCCCATCCCTTCCCGTTCCATCTCCTAAATTCTCTTCCTACAGATAATTTCTGTTCCTCCAAGTTAGTTGCTCATAAGGATGTTTGGGCACCTTAAAAGCCTGTGTGTGGAGACCCGCCCCCAACCCTCGAGCCTATTTCGACGCGAGGTGGTTTTCACTTAGAGATGGTTTTCGCTTAGAGATGGTTCCCCTCTCCCCTCCCGGGTTCGGAACTGCTCATAGCCGCAGTCCCGAGCCTTTTGCTGACCGCACAAAAACCTGCGGGAGAGAAATAGGCCTGTGAAACGCCCACGGAGCCCCGGCGGCCAGACTGCGCATGCGTCGGTGACCCGGGACCAGGTTTGAGGGCAATTAGCATAAGGCTTCAGCTGAGTGGGTCGGGGTAAGCATTGGGACTCTTGGTGAAACTTGGAACATGCCCCCAGAACTCTTGCGCCGGCTGAAGCAGCGCATTAGCGTTGCTGAAATCTTTTGGAGACTCTTAACTCTGATCTTTTACTCCCACTGCCCCTCAAAGCCAAGAATAGTGTTTAAATTATTTATGGCAAGATATTACCACATTGAACTCTTGCTGTTCTGTGTAAATATGATCCTGGGTCACCCTTTCGAGAAGTATTCTTTTACAATTTAAAAATAAAATATGAAATCCAGTTGGGATTTTAGATAATTTTTATTTTTTACATTTCTGTAGCTCATTTTCTATTATGAACCAAATTAATTTTATAAGGTCAACATGTTATTTTCAAAAGTGTATCTGATCTGTTAAGGACAGGGACTGTGTCCTTTTCCACCAGCCTGTGACAGGCGTAGCACACTGTGTACGCTGGGCGTGAAAAAATAAATCAGCCTGAGGATTTCCTTCCCTCCCATGCATCCTTCCCCAGCAGTTTCCTCCTGTGTTCAGTCTAGATTGCATCAACAGCACAATGTTTCATGAACTACAATTTTGGCAAATAAATCCTACTAAACTTTACATATCATCTTTAGAAACAAAATCCAATACATCTGAGTCACCAGGTAATAAGAGGTCCTGCATAAAGAGAAATTAAATTGGAAAAGAAATTTCACAAAAAAGAAAAATAGTTGACTAAAAATGTAAATTCTGTTTCAGGGAACATCAGATCACCCTGAGTATTGTGGTTTGTTTCCAAAAACCAGATAATATACACTACACCAGGAGGCAGACCTGGGTTTAGAGTCTAAGCTCTGCTAGTTTCTATCAACATGACCTTGGGAAAATTATCAAATTCCTCTAACCTTCAGTTTCCACATATGTAAAATGAGAAAAATAATATTTACCTCATAGTGTTGCCACCAGGATCGAATGATACAATGCCTTGTTGTTCAAAATGCAGTCTGTGGACCAGCACCATCCCCCAGGAGCTTGTTAGAAATGCAGACTCTTGGGCCCTACCCCAAACCGAATGAATCAGAACCTGCAGTTTAACAAGATCCCCATTATATTTACATTAAAGACTGAGAAGCATGATGTAATGCATTAAAATGTATGGTGCCTAACTCTTAATAAGAGTTCAATAAACATTAACCAATAGCATTTAGTTCACAAAAGGGCAGCAATGACCAAATAAGTGCTTTATATTATATATTATTACATATGTAATATGACTTCAAAACATACTGCTTCTCAAATATAGGAAACCAGAGAGTGGAGAGAAAGGCAAGAAGAAAATATATGGAAAGCCTAGAAGAGGAGGAGGCTAGTGGCAGTGGAGGGCTCTTCAAGTGAACAAGGAGCTGAGTGGCAAAAGGTGAGTCATGTGGAAGACATTAAAGTGTCAGAAATTGGGACGACAACAAAAATGGCCATGGGCTTCTTTGAGCTGTCAGCCAGAGTCCTTTTCTTTTAAAATTGTACTACCTAATGGCAATGACGTGTTGGGAGGTAGGGACTAAATTCTGTCAACGACAACTCCTTGCTAGTCCTGGGCGCCAGTGTTCCAGCAAAGGCCGTTCTTGTGCATGTGACGTGGAGCTCAGGACTCAATGGTCCCACTACCCTGGATGCCTGCATTAGCACCTGAGGCACATCCACGCTCTACCATTTACTGAATGCCAAGCCCTCCACGGGCAGTTTACATACGTTATCTGCAGGTTCGAGGATGTCCTCCCTCTGCCTCGTAGATGAAGAAACAAGATCAAAGGCATTAAGCCCCTCGCTCCTGCTTACGAAGCTCAGAAGGAGGGTCAGTTGGATTGGCCTCCACATCTGTGCTGTTTCTGTCCAGAGTTGATCCCCATTATAATAATTACCTTAGTGAGTTTAATTACTGGTTTAAATGTCTTTCTCCTTGCTAGACTGAAACACCTTGAAGGCAGGGATAGTAAGTTACTCATCTTCAAATTCCCAGAACTAACTTTTGTGCTTGGCATACCATAAGCACTCAATAAATATTAGTTGATTTAGTGAGTAAATGAATGAACGAATGACCTGTGTTGCCCCTTTTTACTCTCTCTGCTCTCTCTTCCTGGTAGTGAAAAGATCAGAAAGCGTTCAATAGTGTTACTTGTACCAGGTATCAGAGCCACATGAACGGAAGGTCTGCTCCTTCCTGTGTGTTTCGTTAGCCTCTCTGGGCCCTCCAGCATAACAGGCGACCCTCTGTTTCTCTCTTGCATCACTCTGTGGTTTGGCTCTTTGCCTCAGCCCTACACACACAGGATAAAAGTAGGAAATGGGATAGGTGGCATCCTGAGCTGCAGGAAAGACAATAGGTGATCCATATCACATACTAGGTCTCTTTCCATGTTCAAAATTACACATAATCAGAAAAGTAAGGATTAGAGAATTCACTAGGTTATGCATCAGTCCTAAGGTACCAAAGCCTGTGAAGGAAAGGAGGCGAGAGCCACGTAACTTCATTGCTTGCTGCAATCTGTGTTGTTACTCAATCCTTATCAATTTTTTTCTTCTTATTCTTTCAACTCTTAAGTTTACAAAAGTGCTAAGATCTGTCTACCACCAAGAAATTCAGAAACCCAGATTTATTCCTTATTCTTTATTTTATTGCTTTCTTATTTTGTCACAAAACAAATACATTGATGATATTTAGCATATTGAAGATAAATCAGTTTATGAAGAAATTAAAAATGCAAAAACAAATATTATAGACTGCAAACTGAAATCCAGGCTGTCTATTAATTTTCTTCAACTATAATCAAATGTTGTTTGATTTCATATAAACATTGGGATGCAGGCTTTAAGTTTCTAGTAATTTGATACTGTTTTAAAAATAAATAGAAAACCATTGTGAAGATAGGATGGGGGGAGGAGAGTGGGATTTCTATTACAATCATTCTTTCAAGAAATGTGCTCAAATCAGTGTGAATTTAAAGATTTTTAGGTCCAACTGAGCAGGATCTTGTTAGGATCACAGGATTTTATTTTCTCTTCTGACATGTTGAAGTCCTGATGATAATAATAATAATAACAATGACAATAATGGCCCTTATTCAAAATGTCACTTAGCATCGAACAAAAGAAATTTGCTGGGATAGTTTATGACACAAATAGCTTCCAAAGAAGCAGCTTGAAAAGGAGCATAAGAACATGACTCTGAGTCTTTGTGTTACAAGCGATGGACTAATAAAATACTAATTAGCTAACTGATGTCCACATAAATGAAAATACAAGTGTTCCCCCTTCATCTAATGTAGATACACACACACACACACACACACACACACACACAATGAGGCTCCAAAGGTTTAATTCACCAAGTTAATCGCGCCTCAGCTGGGTCTTCTCAGACTCTAGTCCTCATTAAACATGCTACAGCGCTCAAGCCCTAGTTAGACATTAGTCCGCTGTCCAACATTAGCAGTGATATATGTACATGTTGTGTTTGAAAGACAACTGAGGAGATTGGATTTACAGGCAAAAGATAAATAGCTATATATTCCTGTGAGCAACGAAGACTTAATCTAATTTGTGGAACACTTCAATTTCATTTGCATGTTGATATAAACAAATTGTCAAAGAGAGAGCTCTTCATACTGCAATGGCGAATATTAAAATTCAATGTAAGGAAACTTTTGTGGGAAGTCCTTGGCGCCTGTTTCCACGGAATCCTATGCATATAGCAATTATTATACTAAATTCTTTGTAGAATAATTATCTCTTTAAGTGTCTGACACCACAACTTCCCTGCACCCCCACCCTGTCCCTCCTGTGAGCTCCTTGGGAACAGGGACTGTATTTAATTCATGCCATATCTCCAATGCCTAGCACCTAGCAGGGGATGGATGTATGGATGGATGAATGGTTGGGTGGATGGATAGGTGGATGGATAAATGAGATGAAAAGGATGTAAACCATATGATGATAATATTGCTGAGAGAGCAGAGCAGCAAGGCTGAAGTTCCACTAACCAATTCCGCA